TGCAAAAATATGATATGATGAAACCCTCCCTGCTAAATATGATATGATGAAACCCTCCCTGCTAAATATGATATAATGAAACCCTCCCTGCTAAATATGGCATAATGAAACCCTCCCTGCTAAATATGATATAATGAAACCCTCCCTGCTAAATATGATATGATGAACCCCTCCCTGCTAAATATGATGAAACCCTCCCTGCTAAATATGATATGATGAACCCCTCCCTGCTAAATATGGCATAATGAAACCCTCCCCGCTAAATATGATGAAACTCTCCCTGCTAAATATGGCATAATGAAACCCTCCCTGCTAAATATGATGAAACCCTCCCTGCTAAATATGATATGATGAACCCCTCCCTGCTAAATATGATGAAACCCTCCCTGCTAAATATGATGAAACCCTCCCTGCTAAATATGATATAATGAAACCCTCCCTGCTAAATATGAAGAAACCCTCCCTGCTAAATATGATGAAACCCTCCCTGCTAAATATGATGAAACCCTCCCTGCTAAATATGATATGATGAAACCCTCCCTGCTAAATATGATATGATGAAACCCTCCCTGCTAAATATGATGAAACCCTCCCTGCTAAATATGATGAAACCCTCCCTGCTAAATATGATGGAACCCTCCCTGCTAAATATGACATAATGAAACCCTCCCTGCTAAATATGATGAAACCCTCCCTGCTAAATATGATGAAACCCTCCCTGCTAAATATGATGAAACCCTCCCTGCTAAATATAATGAAACCCTCCCTGCTAAATATAATGAAACCCTCCCTGCTAACTAGTAAACTGACCTAGTGTTGGGTTGAGCTACTACAGTGTCCCTTACAAGAGTGAACTGTTGTACTAGTATCTTGGTGGTGGCTAACAGACTGTTGTGTGTCACCTCCCAGGGAGCTAACTCCTCTTCTAGCATCTGAGGGGGGGGGGGGGTTCAAACTATTATTATATACATGTTCCTGTATCTACTGTATCTATACAAACAATATTCTACCAAATTTAAAACTATACAATTAACCATATTTATACAAAATGAAGACTGGTTTAATAATGGCTTGTTTTTTAACGAAAGAAACCAAAATTAGTCCAAAATATGTGTTTTGTGCCAAAGAAGAAAGACTCCAAAGGAATGTGACAGTAATAAGCGGCTGACGCAATATTGGCAATATGCCAATATTATGTCATTTACATGATCACTTAGCTTTCAATCATAACGTTAAACTTACTTTAGGCTACCATCGTTATTATATTAGATTATACGAATTAATTTAATGGTGCTTAGTTTCTTTTTTCACTTGACATTCGTTTGTTTTTCACTGCATATTTGGTATATGATAGTATCCGCTATTATGTAACCGAATACCAGATATATACTACCAAATACTACCAAATACCGTATATTTGGTTGATATTTTCCGAACTATTCGATAACCCTAATAATTATCTATAATAATTAACTATAATTAGCACCAATAAGATAAGTGGAAATGTGTAGGTAATTCAGTTTATTCAAGTGTTAAGTGTTTAACTTAACTGCAAGTGCTAAATGTTTAATTCATCAATATGGAACCCAAGATCTCAGAGCGACGGGTATCAGGTTTTATAACAAGCTGCTTGTATGGTTTAATAAGAGGTATTTACCGGCTAATTCAATTAAATCAAGTCACGACTACTTTTAAATATAAGATATTTACTATTTTACCCCGATTCATGACTCATGGTAGATTGCGTCCGCGCAAGTTTGTTCGCCTCGCTCTTTGTCGCTGTTGTCGCTGGTCGTTTAGTTGCTATGGTAATATCCGCAAAGTTATTTTGCGCGATATTCTGGATTGGTTACTGTTGGTTCGCGACGCCAAACTGATCAAGCAAAATGTCAATTTTCACCATGCACGGAAGATATAGTCTAGTGGCGGATATGTAAATATTTTGCACTTTATTTCGTCAGTATTATGTACAGATCCATGTCAGCTTGCATAAGCTATAAGCATCAGGTCGCATAAATAGAATTGCTCGATATGTTATATGATATGAGACACCATCTCACAGGTTACCATGGTTATGAGACACCATTACACACCATTACACACCATTACACACCATTACACACCATTACACACCATTACACACCATTACACACCATTACACACCATTACACACCATTACACACCATTACACACCATTACACACCATCACACACCATTACACACCATTACACACCATTACACACCATTACACAACACTACCTGCACACCATTACACACCATTACACACCATTACACACCATTACACACCATTACACACCATTACACACCATTACACACCATTACACACCATTACACACCATTACACACCATTACACACCATTACACACCATTACACACCATTACACACCATTACACACCATTACACACCATTAAACACCATTACACACCATTACACACCATTACACACCATTACACACCATTACACACCATTACACACCATCTGCATTTTGGATCGGAAAATTGAGCGGCCATCCACTGATTCCACTCAAGAAATACGGCCATATTTCTTGTTCTATCTTTCTTTAAAGATATTTTAGTTTACGTAGCAAAGGAGCTTTAAACAGCTACTATAATTTCGTCACTTCTCTCTCTCAATCCGTCTTATTCTGAGTTTTAGTATTCAAAACACGTTAAATACTTGTCTCTTGTGTGGGGGGGAGGGGGGGGTCCCCTCTCTCTTGCAGAACTTTCCGTTCTTTATTCCGCGAGAAGTAGGTACTAAAGTAAGTGTTGGTATAAGGTGGCAGATGAAGTGTCTGATGTTGTGCCGAGGAGGGTCAGGGGAGGGAGTGGACTTTAGGAACCTCAGAAACAAGATACTCACCAGTACCGAGTTCATGCAGGTAATGGGGGTTACAACAGGTTACCATAGGTTACCACAGGTTACCACCCTTTACACATGCAGGTAATGGGGTTACAACAGGTTACCATAGGTTACCATGGTTACCATAGGTTACCACCCTTTACACATTCCTCCCCTTTTTCGCAACCCTAGTAGTTACACTTCTACCAAGTGAATATTGCACGGACCATGCGTGGTAACGATGGTAACCTACATTTCTCCCAGGTTTGGTTCCATTATGACACAGATAAGAACGGCTACCTTGAGTACGTGGAGTTCTCCAAGTTCATGAAGGACCTATTTCTCAAGAAGGACTGCACGGACATAACACCCGCCGAGGTGTTTGCTGTTTTATATAACCTAACATTGTAGTACTAGTAGTAGTAGTGTTGCTGACAGGTTTATATATCATATAAGTGGTTTGTTATTGAGTTGGTGTTATATTGTGGTTAAGTTGTACTTACCATTAAGGTAGTATGTTATTAGGTATAAAGAGTGTGTGAGATGATGATAGGGTGGTTTGTTGGGTGGGGGGTTGGGGGTGAGAGTATGTGAAAGAGGTATCATATGGTGGGGGGGTGGGGGTTTGTTTTGAGTTTGTTAGGGGTTTGGGTGTTTGGGTATAGAGGAGGTTTGTGTTTAAGGTGGGTTTAGTATGGTTGTGGGGGTAGTTTTGGTAATGTTGTAAGTTATGGGATTTGGGTTTGTTAATGGAGTATAAATTTCTGGAAAAAAGATTCCGCCAAAAAGTGACAATCAAAAATAAACAATTGTCAAGGAATAAATCCGGAAGATCCCCGTGCAGTTCTTATTAGTTTTGCAATATGTGTGGTTTTCTCTGATGATCACGTAGGTTTGTGACTAGGGAAAATGCTCTTTTTATGGGAATTCGTCAAATTTCATCCAGAAACATGTCAAGGTAACTTTACCCTCCTGTTTTACCAGCATTTCAACGTTAACGCACGTTAAATCTTAATCCCATAATCTCAGTCAATTTTGTCGCATTACAATTCTAACGTGAACCAGGGGTGTAGGAAGCGGGGGGGCACCCCTGACGATACGATAGAAGGTCCTGAATTGTATGCATTTGTTGGAGACATAGTGCGACACCTGGGCCTCACACTGAGTCTCACCGTGGTGGAGAGTGGGGTCAACTATGTTATTGTGAGTAACTAAATCTTCAGCAGTAAGATACACTCATTTCACTCTGATTCACTTTATCATTTCACTCTGATTCACTTTGTCATTTCACTCCGATTCACTTTCTCATTCGCAAAAATTTTAGGTAAATTTCTCGCTTCAACTCCCTCAAAGTACAGGGGTTATGTTCCTCTTAAGACTCAGTTTCAGTGACAAGTACAGGGGTTAGTTTCACTATTTACTATTTAACTTTCAGGAGAGGGTAGGGAGTGATGCCATCGACAAAGCAGTGATAGAGTCCCTCCTAACAGAGGGTAGTATCGGGCAGATAAAGAGGAGATTAGAGGAGGCTAATTAGGAAGTGATTAACATTAGTAGTGACCATGTGACATGACCATGTGACCATGTGACCATGTGACCACCATGTGACCATGTGACCATGTGACCATGTGACCATGTGACCATGTGACCATGTGACCATGTGACCATGTGACCATGTGACAAGACTAACTATTTTCCTTCTCCCCAAACTGTACGTTTAATCGGGGTTCTACTGTAATTTGTAACCATAAAAACTTTGAGCTTATGAAATGGGAGTTATTTAAATTTTTGATACAACTAAGTTAGTTAAGTAGATGAACCAATAATTTTGTAATTAACTTATTCTGATAATACCCTTTGATTTCTACACTAAAATTAACTGTTATTTTGAAAGTGTGATGAGTTTATTTTGTCACAATGAGAAGGGGGGGGGGGGGTCCCCTAATGGAGAACGTGAAATCCATTTATAATGTGGTTATATATAATGAATGAGCTGGGGGTTAGTCAGGGGGGTTAGATAACTTTAGGGGGTTTAGTTAGTTATGGGAGGGGTTTTACAGTATAGTTAGGGAAAGGGGGGCTTAGTCTTTAGTAATTAGTATAGTTTATTTAGTGGGGTTGGTTAAAGTTAGATTGAGGGAGGGGGGGGGGGGGGGATGGGGGCGGGGGGGTTTTATGAGTTAGCTTATCGGGGGGTTTACGTTTATTAGGAGAGGGCGCTTGTTACGTAAGTTAGTTAGTTATTAGTGGGTGGTTGTTAGTTAGTTAGGGGGAGGGGGTTTCTAGTGAGTTAGTTTATGGGGGGTTTTAGTTTATTAGGGAGGTTAATAGTTAGTAAAGTCTAAGATATAGTCTAAGAGGCATTTAGTTGGGGAGGGGGTTTAGTTGTTAGTTTACTGGGGGGTTAAGTTTATTAGGGAGGGTTTATGCTTTATAAGTACCATTTAGTTAGTTAGTTAGTAGGGGTTGGTTTAGTTAGTTGGGGGGGGGGGGTTTAGTGAGTTTAGTTTATGGGGGTTTATTTATTAGTGGAGGGTTTAGTTTAGTAAGGATTATTTAGATCTAGTTAGTGGGGGTTCTGGTTTAGTTAGTTGGAGGGGGGGGGGGGGGGGAGGGAGGGGGGGGGGGGGGCGGGGAGGGGGGGGCGGGGGGGGGGGGGGGTGGGGGGCGGGGGGGGGGGGGGGGGGGGGGAGGTTTAAGTGAGATTATTATGTGGAGCGGGGGTATAGTTTATTAGGGAGGATTAGTTAGGAAAGTTAAGTTAGAGTTAGTAGTTTGGGGGGGGGGTTAGGTGAGTTGTATGGAGGGGTTAGTTTTTAATTAGGAGGTTTAGTTAGTAAAGTTAGTCTTACATTAGTTAGTGGGAGTTGGTTGTCTACTGGGGGTTTAGTTAGTTAGGGAGGCCTTAGTTAGTAAGTTAGACTTGTTAGTTATGGGGATATGGTAGTTAGTTGGGGGGGGGGGGGGGTTTAGTAGTTAGTTTATGGGGGGTTTAGTTTATTTAGTGAGGGTTTAGTTCGTAAGTTATAGTTTAGTTAGTATTAGTGGGGGTTGGTTAGTTAGTTGGGGGGGGGGGGGGGTTTAGTGAGTTAGTTATGGGGGGGTTTAGTTTTATTAGGGAGGGTTTAGTTAGTAAGTTAGTTAGTTAGTTAGTTGGGGGGGGGGTTTAGTGAGTTAGTTATGGGGGGTTTAGTTTATTAGGGAGGGTTTAGTTAGTAAGTTAGTTAGTTAGTTAGTGGGGGTTGGTTAGTTATGGGGGGTTTAGTTAGTTAGGGAGGGCTTAGTTAGTAAGTTAGTTAGTTAGTTAGTGGGGATTGGTTAGTTAGTTGGGGGGGGGTTTAGTGAGTTAGTTATGGGGGGTTTAGTTTATTAGGGAGGGCTTAGTTAGTAAGTTAGTTAGTTAGTTAGTGGGGGTTGGTTAGTTAGTTGGGGGGGGGGGGGTTTTAGTGAGTTCATAATTTAAAAGCTACTAAGAATACCGTACCCTTATTGAAGAGTCGACAGTATCGGTTGACTCGGTGGTGGGTTCTTGGTCGCTCATCACTGAAGCTATATCGCTTAGAACAGCCTGCAATAAAGTTTACATCACATGGTATGAAACTGAGGTGAACCAAACTCATTATGTGGACTGCTTGAGGTTAACTGATATGCATAATGAGTAGTAGTACTAAGTAGCGCCATTACCGTGTTGGTGGGATCCTCTGAGTACTCCAACTGAAGAGGGTGTATCATAACAGGAGTAGAGCACCTGCTACTCCCTACACTCTCACCCTCACCCTCCTCCTCACCCTCACCCTCACCCTACACTCTCACCCTCACCCTCCTCCTCCTCCTGGGTACTGTTCCTCTCAAACAGACTGTCTGTACCGTGCAGACTGTCTCCCTGTACACTGTCTCCCTCTATTTTTAATGGCATTTCTTCTTCACTGTATTCTTCTTGTGATCCCTGGACAATGTTAGTTACTAAGTACTAGGTACTAGTTACTAAGGATATATTACAATTACCTTAAGACCTTACAATCATAGTGACTTACAATAAATATATTTTAAATAGAATAATGGATTAACTTTAACCTACCTCCTGCTGGTATCCCTGGTGGTACTGCAAGTTAACCTACCTCCTGCTGGTATCCCTGGTGGTACTGCAAGTTAACCTACCTCCTGCTGGTATCCCTGGTGGTACTGCAAGTTAACCTACCTCCTGCTGGTATCCCTGGTGGTACTGCAAGTTAACCTACCTCCTGCTGGTATCCCTGGTGGTACTGCAAGTTAACCTACCTCCTGCTGGTATCCCTGGTGGTACTGCAAGTTAACCTACCTCCTGCTGGTATCCCTGGTGGTACTGCAAGTTAACCTACCTCCTGCTGGTATCCCTGGTGGTACTGCAAGTTAACCTACCTCCTGCTGGTATCCCTGGTGGTACTGCAAGTTAACCTACCTCCTGCTGGTATCCCTGGTGGTACTGCAAGTTAACCTACCTCCTGCTGGTATCCCTGGTGGTACTGCAAGTTAACCTACCTCCTGCTGGTATCCCTGGTGGTACTGCAAGTTAACCTACCTCCTGCTGGTATCCCTGGTGGTACTGCAAGTTAACCTACCTCCTGCTGGTATCCCTGGTGGTACTGCAAGTTAACCTACCTCCTGCTGGTATCCCTGGTGGTACTGCAAGTTAACCTACCTCCTGCTGGTATCCCTGGTGGTACTGCAAGTTAACCTACCTCCTGCTGGTATCCCTGGTGGTACTGCAAGTTAACCTACCTCCTGCTGGTATCCCTGGTGGTACTGCAAGTTAACCTACCTCCTGCTGGTATCCCTGGTGGTACTGCAAGTTAACCTACCTCCTGCTGGTATCCCTGGTGGTACTGCAAGTTAACCTACCTCCTGCTGGTATCCCTGGTGGTACTGCAAGTTAACCTACCTCCTGCTGGTATCCCTGGTGGTACTGCAAGTTAACCTACCTCCTGCTGGTATCCCTGGTGGTACTGCAAGTTAACCTACCTCCTGCTGGTATCCCTGGTGGTACTGCAAGTTAACCTACCTCCTGCTGGTATCCCTGGTGGTACTGCAAGTTAACCTACCTCCTGCTGGTATCCCTGGTGGTACTGCAAGTTAACCTACCTCCTGCTGGTATCCCTGGTGGTACTGCAAGTTAACCTACCTCCTGCTGGTATCCCTGGTGGTACTGCAAGTTAACCTACCTCCTGCTGGTATCCCTGGTGGTACTGCAAGTTAACCTACCTCCTGCTGGTATCCCTGGTGGTACTGCAAGTTAACCTACCTCCTGCTGGTATCCCTGGTGGTACTGCAAGTTAACCTACCTCCTGCTGGTATCCCTGGTGGTACTGCAAGTTAACCTACCTCCTGCTGGTATCCCTGGTGGTACTGCAAGTTAACCTACCTCCTGCTGGTATCCCTGGTGGTACTGCAAGTTAACCTACCTCCTGCTGGTATCCCTGGTGGTACTGCAAGTTAACCTACCTCCTGCTGGTATCCCTGGTGGTACTGCAAGTTAACCTACCTCCTGCTGGTATCCCTGGTGGTACTGCAAGTTAACCTACCTCCTGCTGGTATCCCTGGTGGTACTGCAAGTTAACCTACCTCCTGCTGGTATCCCTGGTGGTACTGCAAGTTAACCTACCTCCTGCTGGTATCCCTGGTGGTACTGCAAGTTAACCTACCTCCTGCTGGTATCCCTGGTGGTACTGCAAGTTAACCTACCTCCTGCTGGTATCCCTGGTGGTACTGCAAGTTAACCTACCTCCTGCTGGTATCCCTGGTGGTACTGCAAGTTAACCTACCTCCTGCTGGTATCCCTGGTGGTACTGCAAGTTAACCTACCTCCTGCTGGTATCCCTGGTGGTACTGCAAGTTAACCTACCTCCTGCTGGTATCCCTGGTGGTACTGCAAGTTAACCTACCTCCTGCTGGTATCCCTGGTGGTACTGCAAGTTAACCTACCTCCTGCTGGTATCCCTGGTGGTACTGCAAGTTAACCTACCTCCTGCTGGTATCCCTGGTGGTACTGCAAGTTAACCTACCTCCTGCTGGTATCCCTGGTGGTACTGCAAGTTAACCTACCTCCTGCTGGTATCCCTGGTGGTACTGCAAGTTAACCTACCTCCTGCTGGTATCCCTGGTGGTACTGCAAGTTAACCTACCTCCTGCTGGTATCCCTGGTGGTACTGCAAGTTAACCTACCTCCTGCTGGTATCCCTGGTGGTACTGCAAGTTAACCTACCTCCTGCTGGTATCCCTGGTGGTACTGCAAGTTAACCTACCTCCTGCTGGTATCCCTGGTGGTACTGCAAGTTAACCTACCTCCTGCTGGTATCCCTGGTGGTACTGCAAGTTAACCTACCTCCTGCTGGTATCCCTGGTGGTACTGCAAGTTAACCTACCTCCTGCTGGTATCCCTGGTGGTACTGCAAGTTAACCTACCTCCTGCTGGTATCCCTGGTGGTACTGCAAGTTAACCTACCTCCTGCTGGTATCCCTGGTGGTACTGCAAGTTAACCTACCTCCTGCTGGTATCCCTGGTGGTACTGCAAGTTAACCTACCTCCTGCTGGTATCCCTGGTGGTACTGCAAGTTAACCTACCTCCTGCTGGTATCCCTGGTGGTACTGCAAGTTAACCTACCTCCTGCTGGTATCCCTGGTGGTACTGCAAGTTAACCTACCTCCTGCTGGTATCCCTGGTGGTACTGCAAGTTAACCTACCTCCTGCTGGTATCCCTGGTGGTACTGCAAGTTAACCTACCTCCTGCTGGTATCCCTGGTGGTACTGCAAGTTAACCTACCTCCTGCTGGTATCCCTGGTGGTACTGCAAGTTAACCTACCTCCTGCTGGTATCCCTGGTGGTACTGCAAGTTAACCTACCTCCTGCTGGTATCCCTGGTGGTACTGCAAGTTAACCTACCTCCTGCTGGTATCCCTGGTGGTACTGCAAGTTAACCTACCTCCTGCTGGTATCCCTGGTGGTACTGCAAGTTAACCTACCTCCTGCTGGTATCCCTGGTGGTACTGCAAGTTAACCTACCTCCTGCTGGTATCCCTGGTGGTACTGCAAGTTAACCTACCTCCTGCTGGTATCCCTGGTGGTACTGCAAGTTAACCTACCTCCTGCTGGTATCCCTGGTGGTACTGCAAGTTAACCTACCTCCTGCTGGTATCCCTGGTGGTACTGCAAGTTAACCTACCTCCTGCTGGTATCCCTGGTGGTACTGCAAGTTAACCTACCTCCTGCTGGTATCCCTGGTGGTACTGCAAGTTAACCTACCTCCTGCTGGTATCCCTGGTGGTACTGCAAGTTAACCTACCTCCTGCTGGTATCCCTGGTGGTACTGCAAGTTAACCTACCTCCTGCTGGTATCCCTGGTGGTACTGCAAGTTAACCTACCTCCTGCTGGTATCCCTGGTGGTACTGCAAGTTAACCTACCTCCTGCTGGTATCCCTGGTGGTACTGCAAGTTAACCTACCTCCTGCTGGTATCCCTGGTGGTACTGCAAGTTAACCTACCTCCTGCTGGTATCCCTGGTGGTACTGCAAGTTAACCTACCTCCTGCTGGTATCCCTGGTGGTACTGCAAGTTAACCTACCTCCTGCTGGTATCCCTGGTGGTACTGCAAGTTAACCTACCTCCTGCTGGTATCCCTGGTGGTACTGCAAGTTAACCTACCTCCTGCTGGTATCCCTGGTGGTACTGCAAGTTAACCTACCTCCTGCTGGTATCCCTGGTGGTACTGCAAGTTAACCTACCTCCTGCTGGTATCCCTGGTGGTACTGCAAGTTAACCTACCTCCTGCTGGTATCCCTGGTGGTACTGCAAGTTAACCTACCTCCTGCTGGTATCCCTGGTGGTACTGCAAGTTAACCTACCTCCTGCTGGTATCCCTGGTGGTACTGCAAGTTAACCTACCTCCTGCTGGTATCCCTGGTGGTACTGCAAGTTAACCTACCTCCTGCTGGTATCCCTGGTGGTACTGCAAGTTAACCTACCTCCTGCTGGTATCCCTGGTGGTACTGCAAGTTAACCTACCTCCTGCTGGTATCCCTGGTGGTACTGCAAGTTAACCTACCTCCTGCTGGTATCCCTGGTGGTACTGCAAGTTAACCTACCTCCTGCTGGTATCCCTGGTGGTACTGCAAGTTAACCTACCTCCTGCTGGTATCCCTGGTGGTACTGCAAGTTAACCTACCTCCTGCTGGTATCCCTGGTGGTACTGCAAGTTAACCTACCTCCTGCTGGTATCCCTGGTGGTACTGCAAGTTAACCTACCTCCTGCTGGTATCCCTGGTGGTACTGCAAGTTAACCTACCTCCTGCTGGTATCCCTGGTGGTACTGCAAGTTAACCTACCTCCTGCTGGTATCCCTGGTGGTACTGCAAGTTAACCTACCTCCTGCTGGTATCCCTGGTGGTACTGCAAGTTAACCTACCTCCTGCTGGTATCCCTGGTGGTACTGCAAGTTAACCTACCTCCTGCTGGTATCCCTGGTGGTACTGCAAGTTAACCTACCTCCTGCTGGTATCCCTGGTGGTACTGCAAGTTAACCTACCTCCTGCTGGTATCCCTGGTGGTACTGCAAGTTAACCTACCTCCTGCTGGTATCCCTGGTGGTACTGCAAGTTAACCTACCTCCTGCTGGTATCCCTGGTGGTACTGCAAGTTAACCTACCTCCTGCTGGTATCCCTGGTGGTACTGCAAGTTAACCTACCTCCTGCTGGTATCCCTGGTGGTACTGCAAGTTAACCTACCTCCTGCTGGTATCCCTGGTGGTACTGCAAGTTAACCTACCTCCTGCTGGTATCCCTGGTGGTACTGCAAGTTAACCTACCTCCTGCTGGTATCCCTGGTGGTACTGCAAGTTAACCTACCTCCTGCTGGTATCCCTGGTGGTACTGCAAGTTAACCTACCTCCTGCTGGTATCCCTGGTGGTACTGCAAGTTAACCTACCTCCTGCTGGTATCCCTGGTGGTACTGCAAGTTAACCTACCTCCTGCTGGTATCCCTGGTGGTACTGCAAGTTAACCTACCTCCTGCTGGTATCCCTGGTGGTACTGCAAGTTAACCTACCTCCTGCTGGTATCCCTGGTGGTACTGCAAGTTAACCTACCTCCTGCTGGTATCCCTGGTGGTACTGCAAGTTAACCTACCTCCTGCTGGTATCCCTGGTGGTACTGCAAGTTAACCTACCTCCTGCTGGTATCCCTGGTGGTACTGCAAGTTAACCTACCTCCTGCTGGTATCCCTGGTGGTACTGCAAGTTAACCTACCTCCTGCTGGTATCCCTGGTGGTACTGCAAGTTAACCTACCTCCTGCTGGTATCCCTGGTGGTACTGCAAGTTAACCTACCTCCTGCTGGTATCCCTGGTGGTACTGCAAGTTAACCTACCTCCTGCTGGTATCCCTGGTGGTACTGCAAGTTAACCTACCTCCTGCTGGTATCCCTGGTGGTACTGCAAGTTAACCTACCTCCTGCTGGTATCCCTGGTGGTACTGCAAGTTAACCTACCTCCTGCTGGTATCCCTGGTGGTACTGCAAGTTAACCTACCTCCTGCTGGTATCCCTGGTGGTACTGCAAGTTAACCTACCTCCTGCTGGTATCCCTGGTGGTACTGCAAGTTAACCTACCTCCTGCTGGTATCCCTGGTGGTACTGCAAGTTAACATAATGGCTCCGCCCCCTCTCCTCCCTCCCATTAAGAGATGCACTGAAAGTTGGTTCTGGGGTCTTGTTTCCTTCTTCTTCTGAGAAGTGTAGTTCCGAAAACGTCTGAGATCCTGACACAAGGTAATCATGGATTAACTTTGGGTTTGCAGAGACAAGTTTAATCGAAGAACTTTAATTCAAAGAAGCACATAAGTCGCTTTCATAAGTAAGGTATCACTTATACCTGACCTGGTAGCTTTTGTGCCGTTTCCTTGACCGAAATTGAACGGTTTTGACTGAATTTTTGACCTGTGACCAATTAGTGAGGTCAGTGTGAGTGACACAAGTCACCATCGAGGTACTGGAAGCCGAATATCCGGAGAAAACTTTGATGAAAGGAAAATTTTGAAAATGTCCTACCGGTAGGACATTTTCAGATTTCATCTTTTTGCCAAATTTCACCTCAGAGACGAGGGAATGAAACTTTATTTCCGAGTTTCTTGTGCCATGGGTTGTAGTCTGAAGAGTGTACAGTTAGTAATTACAGAAATAAAGATAACCTACCAGATAGTTCGGATCTAAAAGTACTGCATCTCATATCATTCCTATCTGAGCCAGGACTGCCACTACAAGTGTTAACATCACGGTACATTATTGCTATGTGCTCCTCATTCCTATCTGAGCCAGGACTGCCACTACAAGTGTTAACATCACGGTACATTATTGCTATGTGCTCCTCATTCCTATCTGAGCCAGGACTACCACTACAAGTGTTAACATCACGGTACATTATTGCTATGTCCTCCTCATTCCTATCTGAGCCAGGACTACCACTACAAGTGTTAACATCACGGTACATTATTGCTATGTCCTCCTCATGTCCGTTATCCTGCATCACCTCACCACTCTTAATGACGTCATCACTCTTAATGACGTCACCACTCTTAATGACGTCATCACTCTTAATGACGTCATCAATCAGTATGTTCCGGGGTTTGAGAGCTTCAAATGATGTCTTTTTAGCCAGTTCCATTACTTGACACAGCCAGTCTACATAACACTGTTTGTATTCTAGTCGCACCTGAACAGTCAACATGATACGTTTTATTTAGAGGACCATAATATTTATGTTCGAGCTCGAATAAAACGCATTATCAATTAATTGAAAATACAATGATTTCAAAAATTATGAGAGCAGAGTATAAAGATAATGAAGCGTATCTCACATTACCTCAGTTGACGGCTGATCAGATATAAGAACCAGTGTCTCAATGAGGGAAGAAGATAGGATCCTCATCTTCTGAACCTTCTCTTGGTCCTCAGCCTCCCCTCCCTCAGCCTCCACCCTGTCTGAGATAGTTGTTATCATATCTATAGCATGGTCTGCTGTATCAGACAGTGTCCCAGGATCACACTCAATAGAGTCCGCCAGGTCAGCAGGTAACTCAGGTACTAGATCAGTAACCGCACTACATGTAGTAATAACCGCACTGTGGATACAGTACACTGCAAATGTTATATCCGTCTTTAGCAGCATGTACTGGGCTGGGTCCATTAAATGAACACTGCTCATTGAACCTTGCAGCTCTCTTAACTTGTTGATGTGTTTAAACACTAAGTCCTTGTAATCACACTCTATTAGTTTATCTGATATGAGGTACACTGAGGTGAGCAATCTCTCCATGTCCTCCTCAACAACCCAGCAATCCTTCCTGTCTGCAAACTCAGGGAAAGAGCTGTGATGCCCCAAAATGTCACCTATTGCAATGTTGAGAAGTCTAAACTTAGTTGCCCATTGGTATTTGATAGCTTCAAACTTGGTCCTCTGCAGGGTGTCATTAGGTCTGGAAGTGACAACTTGTATAGCGTCACATAACGCAGGTGTCATCTTGTTCACGTGATCCTGCGTCACATTGACCAGCTCCACCCCGTCTCTCTCCTTCTCGTTGGTTATCAGCTTCAGATACACGCCAAGTTGCAGATCTGATGTTATTTCAGTGACAGATTCCACTAGTTTAGTTATCCTCTCTGCCGACGTGGAGAACACATCTTTGTTTTTAGGAGAACTGACAATGTCAAGGAGAGGTTTAAGGAATGTGTCCAGATGAGATGTAACACTGTTGATGGAGTGCAGCCAGTCCTCCACAGAATCCTCTAGATCACCAGGTCTCATCAGCAAAATCTGGTTTACTGTTCCTTTAACCTGATCCACTGTGTCCTCCATCTCATACCTGAGGGGGGTATACCGAGTAACACTAGGGGGCCGGGGGGGGGGGGGGGGGGGGGGGGGGGGGGGGGGGGTATACCGAGTAACACTAGGGGGCCGGGGGGTATACCGAGTAACACTAGGGGGCCGGGGGAGGGGGTATACCGAGTAACACTAGGGGGCCGGGGGAGGGGGTATACCGAGTAACACTAGGGGGCCGGGGGAGGGGGTATACCGAGTAACACTAGGGGGCCGGGGGAGGGGGGTATACCGAGTAACACTAGGGGGGCCGGGGGAGGGGGTATACCGAGTAACACTAGGGGGCCGGGGGAGGGGGTATACCGAGTAACACTAGGGGGCCGGGGGAGGGGGTATACCGAGTAACACTAGGGGGCCGGGGGAGGGGGTATACCGAGTAACACTAGGGGGCCGGGGGAGGGGGTATACCGAGTAACACTAGGGGGCCGGGGGAGGGGGTATACCGAGTAACACTAGGGGGCCGGGGGAGGGGGGGTATACCGAGTAACACTAGGGGGCCGGGGGAGGGGGGTATACCGAGTAACACTAGGGGGCCGGGGGAGGGGGTATACCGAGTAACACTAGGGGGGCCGGGGGGGGGGGGGGGTTTACCGAGTAACACTAGGGGGCCGGGTGGGTATACCGAGTAACACTAGAGGGGCCGGGGGAGGGGGTATACCGAGTAACATTAGGGGGCCGGGGGAGGGGGTATACCGAGTAACACTAGGGGGGGCCGGGGGAGGGGGGTATACCGAGTAACACTAGGGGGCCGGGGGGAGGGGGGTATACCGAGTAACAGTAGGGGGCCGGGGGAGGGGTATACCGGGTAACACTAGGGGGCCGGGGGAGGGGGTATACCGAGTAACACTAGGTGGCCGGGGGGGGGGGGGTATACCGAGTAACACTAGGGCGGGCCGGGGGGTTTACCGAGTAACACTAGGGGGCCGGGGGGGTATACCGAGTAACACTAGAGGGCCGGGGGAGGGGGTATACCGAGTAACATTAGGGGGGCCGGGGGAGGGGTATACCGAGTAACACTAGGGGGGCCGGGGGAGGGGGGGTATACCGAGTAACACTAGGGGGCCGGGGGAGGGGGGGTATAACCGAGTAACATTAGGGGGCCGGGGGAGGGGGTATACCGAGTAACACTAGGGGGCCGGGGGAGGGGGGTATACCGAGTAACACTAGGGGGGCCGGGGGCTACTTATTGTTGTTAAACTTCTAAAACGCCAAATCGTTCGATTTTTTGTTAAAAGTAATATCTCAACGATTGTCCTTTAACCATTACATTTTGTACTCGAAGCAGGAGTAATGTGATTGCCTATTTATAAAGGTATAAACCATGTAGAAACCTCTCATTGACATCAGTGTGCGTTGAACTGAGCACTTGCAGACAGTCACATAACTTAGTGGTGATTGACTTTATCTCCCTCAGTTCATTCCCCTCCTCCATTATCGTTCCCTGCCGTACTAACCTGAACAATTCTTATCAAATCAAGCTAGCATCACACTTTTTAAATTTTGCTATCAACTTTAAAGTGACTTTAAAGTAACAACTTGTTAACTAAGATAGCCAAGTAGAAAACACAGAAAGGGGGACTAGCCTGTGACCAGCTACCACCCACAGTACCCCCTCTCTCTCCCCCCCCCCCCCCAGAAAGCACAGAAAGGAGGACTAGCATGTAACCAGCTACCACCCACAGTACCCCCTCTCTCCCCCCCCCCCCCAGAAAGCATAGAAAGGAGGACTAGCATGTAACCAGCTACCACCCACAGTACCCCCTCTCTCCCCCCCCCCCCCCAGAAAGCATAGAAAGGAGGACTAGCCTGTAACCAGCTACCACCCCCAGTACCCCCTCTTCCCCCCCCCCCCCAGAAAGCATAGAAAGGAGGACTAGCCTGTAACCAGCTACCACCCCCAGTACCCCCTCTTCCCCCCCCCCCAGAAAGCATAGAAAGGAGGACTAGCCTGTAACCAGCTACCACCCCCAGTACCCCCTCTTCCTCCCCCCCCCCCCCCCCCCCCCCCCAGAAAGCATAGAAAGGAGGACTAGCCTGTAACCAGCTACCACCCCCAGTACCCCCTCTTCCCCCCCCCCCCCCAGAAAGCATAGAAAGGAGGACTAGCCTGTAACCAGCTACCACCCCCAGTACCCCCTCTCTCCCCCCCCCCCCAGAAAGCATAGAAAGGAGGACTAGCCTGTAACCAGCTACCACCCCCAGTACCCCCTCTTCCCCCCCCCCCAGAAAGCATAGAAAGGAGGACTAGCCTGTAACCAGCTACCACCCCCAGTACCCCCTCTTCCCCCCCCCCCCCCCAGAAAGCATAGAAAGGAGGACTAGCCTGTAACCAGCTACCACCCCCAGTACCCCCTCTCTCCCCCCCCCCCCCCCCCCAGAAAGCATAGAAAGGAGGACTAGCCTGTAACCAGCTACCACCCCCAGTACCCCCCTCTTCCCCCCCCCCCAGAAAGCATAGAAAGGAGGACTAGCCTGTAACCAGCTACCACCCCAGTACCCCCTCTTCCCCCCCCCCCCCCCCCAGAAAGCATAGAAAGGAGGACTAGCCTGTAACCAGCTACCACCCCCAGTACCCCCTCTTCCCCCCCCCCCCCAGAAAGCATAGAAAGGAGGACTAGCCTGTAACCAGCTACCACCCCCAGTACCCCCTCTCTCCCCCCCCCCCCAGAAAACACAGAAAGGGGGACTAGCATGTGACCAGCTACCACCCACAGTACCCCCTCTCCCCCCCCCCCCCCCCCCCCCCCCCCCCAGAAAGCATAGAAAGAGGGACTAGCCTGTAACCAGCTACCACCCCCAGTACCCCCTCTCCCCCCCCCCAGAAAGCACAGAAAGGAGGACTAGCCTGTACCAGCTACCACCCCCAGTACCCCCTCTTCCCCCCCCCCCCCCCAGAAAGCATAGAAAGGAGACTAGCCTGTAACCAGCTACCACCCCCAGTACCCCCTCTTCCCCCCCCCCCCCCAGAAAGCATAGAAAGGAGGACTAGCCTGTAACCAGCTACCACCCCCAGTACCCCCTCTCTCCCCCCCCCCCCCCCCCCAGAAAACACAGAAAGGGGGACTAGCATGTGACCAGCTACCACCCACAGTACCCCCCCCCCCCCCCCCCCCCCCCCCCCCCCCCCCCCCCCAGAAAGCACAGAAAGGGGGACTAGCCTGTAACCAGCAGCTCTGATTGGCTGGTGGAGGTCCTCAGGGTGATGGTTGTGTTTTCTCTCTTTGTCTGTGTGTACCGGCGCAGATTCAGGCGGTTCTTCAAGTTCCACTGTCACTGAATCAAGCTCTACGTTCAATTCTTCACTCTCTAGACTTACAGCTTCCATTGCATCGTCCTTGCTGTTATTACTCATCTCTGGTATCATTTCCAGAGCATTTGACAAGCTGATCATTTTATCTACCCATTCCTTTCCGTAAGCATCAAGTTGAGAACAGAAATCCTTATCATGAGTGTCAGCCGCAACAAGCAGACCAAACTTAATAACCTCAGGAGTAATGTTCATCAACTCCTCGTTAACCTCGTTAATGTAATCTCGCTGGTACTCAGGATACTCATTAGACTCATCAAAAGGTCTGGATATTCTCCTCATTTTAGTTGTCATGGCTGACAGAGAGTTACCCAGAACCTGAACTTTTGGACGATTGCCAGATTTAGCAGAGGAAATAAGTTGCTCGATAGCTATGTTAACTTTAGAGGGTGGTATGCCTAGTTCCGTTTCGTCTGGTATAGTATCAGGTTGGTTATCAGCCACCAAAGTACACAGTTGTAAGTACAGTTCCTGCCATTGCGCGCACACGTGCTCCAGATAAGACAGTGTAACGTCGTCTTGGCAATGAGCCAGAGCCTGGGAGGTTCTACTCATTTCACTGAACACGTCCTCCAACTCCCCTGAAGTATTGTCTATCTGCTGTGCCACTGTGGAACTGAGACACGCTGCAGAACAGTAGGTAGCAAGGTCTATCTGCTTAGTTGTTCTGAGAGATAAGGAGTCTAGCTCTGCCTCTGTCATGTCCTTGTCACCTGATGTAGCCGCTGATATTAGACCGTTCATTGAGGGAACTTTCACTGCTTGATGACTGGAACTGGGTCCCAACCCAAAGTCATCATATGCTTTACCCAGAACTATCACACTGTCAGCCCAATGACGAGCACTCCACCGCAGGTTTTCTATCGCTACTGCGTTTTTGTTATTGCTAGCAGTTTTCCTGGCTGCGTCGTTAACACTTGGGGTCAGTTTGTTCATTTCTTTAACCAGGAAATCTATGGTTCTGAGCCGGGTCTGATTATCAGAGAGGCTGTGACACTGCTGACTTAACTCCTTTATCCTACCGCAGTGAGCAGTCAGGACTGAAATACAACTTTCTACCGTCTCCCCGTTCATAGCGGTGGTGATGAGATCTGCCAGGCAGATTATAGCATCGTTAATAGAAGCTGGGGGTTTTCTAATACCCTTCACTCCAACAAGCTTGTTAATGTCATCAGGATCTAAAGAGTCGTCCTTCATAGCAAACTGCAGCAAGATATCGGGGGGTTCAGTGCCATTACTGGTGATATCTTCCGAGTAGGTCTGAACCCCGATATCAAAGAAGCCAGTGTCTCCCCTGAGAGCAGATGCCAGTCTATTAGCAGCATCTACCTGGGTAGTTACTTCATCTCCCTGGTCCTCACACACCACTGTCTTTATCTGGTGCACAGCGCGCGCTATTTCATGGGCCACTCCAGCAAGTTCTTCTTGAGATTCTATATCTTTAAAGTCCTCAACTGTAGCTTGTGTTAGTGAGATAATCCTCGGTAGCACGTGTTCCAAATCAGCTAATGCAGCTTCAAGCTGAGAGGAGAATTTGGTGCTGGTCGATTTTAAAAGTTCCTTCTGCCCTACGTGGAAAACTCTCTGAGCTTTATTGATCATAGCTTTGGCAGCGCGAAGTAAAGCGACAGTATCTTGGTTGATAAATGCTTGTTTAGAGAGTGCTACATCTTTATTAATGTGACTTTCTGAAGCTCTAAGAAACTCGCCAGTGTTTGTTAAATTGTCGATGAGAGCCAACAGTCTGGAAACTACTTTAGACCACTCGTTACACATTGCATTCATGAAAGCAAGAGTTACATTTTCATTAGGATGGGCGTGAACAGATAAAGCACAGGCAATGATTTTCGGGCCAAGGATGCTTATATCAGCAGCAATTCTCTGTAGTACCAAAATGTTGTCATCATCCTCCTTACTGACCTCAACTGCATATTCCGTGATATCAATCAGCCTGTTCGCATGCTGTTTAAATCTCTCTATGTATTTCTCCAATTCAGGATCGTTTTGTACATAAGATCTCTGAGCAGCCTCTCTCAGATTTACCAGTGGTTTGAACTGTTCAGTGGTTTGCTCGCATGATTTGTAGGTCTGTGAGAGGATTCTGTTTAACTCGGAGAACTGTTCCCCCATCTGGTTGGAGAGCTGGTTGATGACATTCCAAGACTGACTTGACTGACTTGTAACTGCGAATAACTTTGCAAGTTCAGATCTTACTCTAATGATCTTGCTGCAAATTGTGCTGATGATATTCCTCCTCTTGGACGAAGTTTCCCCAGCGACTGCGATACTGGCGTGGAGCACAAGTTCCAAGTATCTTGTAGCTGATTCCACATCTATTGTGTTTAAAGCGCCCAGCATATTCCTAACTGTGGTCACAAAAGTTTTAATGTTCTCGTTCAGCTGACTGTCTGTCTGAATTACAGATCTCCTGCCCCGGTCTTGCAAAATATTTGATATGACTGTCGGCGTACGTTTGATAATCTTCAGTCCTTGTTCCACAGTTGCCCTGGTGTTTTTGTCCTTTATTTCTTTATGGTAATCTGTGATTCTGTAACAAAATTGAGTTAGATCTTCTATGAAATGTTTGAAGAGTGGAACCAAAGTTTTCATGTTGCCACAGGTATGAGGAATAGAGTGTATTTCTGCAACTAGCTGTTCACCGCAACTTTTGATTATTTTGATCTTTTGACCATCTAGTGACAACAATATCTGAAATAATAAGTTTGGAATGTAAATCAAACTGTTACATATTCGTAAGTACAATTTAATGAAGAGTACATAATAAATAATATGGGGGGAGGGGGGGGGGGGGTTATAAACAATACCTTCATAACAGTTAAATTATACTGGAAGCAGGAGTCACGGAGGGCAGTGCGTAAAGCAACAGATTGATCAGTGCGAAGAGCATGACTAACACTCATCAGATCGCTACCAGCAAGATTCAAATCTTTGGTCAGACTGCGCACCTGCATAGATTTGTTTCTGTCACATTTGTCAATCTTACCCCAGGGCTTTGCTAGAAGCATAACTGACATTCTTGTGTGGTTTGATATAACGATTCATTATAACACGTGCAGTTTATTGTATCAGAAACCAAGGTACGCAGTTAAGACAATCGGTCGAAAAGGTTTCCAACGTTAAACAACATTTTATCAAAACATCCTCAAATCAAAATCATTTTGTAATGACAACCAGACAATACTAATCATTCTATTTTATAAACGAGTTAAGGACATTAATCAGTTCACTTACTTGTCTGGAACAATCTGTTGAAAGTCTTGAAGCCTCTTCCTCAGCAGCCATGGTGAATGATCGTCCAGCTTCGACTACTATCTAAAAGAAGATCACTGGAATTAGCTAGTAATAAGTAATTTGTGGCAAAAACTGCCAAATGCATATTATGAATGGTTTATAAAACCAAAAATAATTTACAGTTAAGTATTAAACAAATAAGCAACAAATTAACCTCCGCTGCTGGTAGCATGTCAGGAACAGGGATGTGCTGTCTCCGAGCAAGTTCCGAGCTGATGGTGAGCTGTACCAATTGTGCAGTAGCTGGTGCCATGACGATTTCTTCACTTCGAGGGACATGCTTAGCATATCTTAACGTTACCTGCACTGTTTGTATTGAATCAATGGTAAATGTTTCAATAAAATTGCTCTTTTGAGCATATTTTTTGCTTTCCCTGTCAGATATAAGAGGAGGCATATGAAGTATGACATGCTTGGTCGTCATATTATTGATAATTGTAAATTTATTTGCTGAGATTGAGACTTACCAGATGCTTTTTATCTGAGCATCAAAAACTATTGACCCTAGTTTTTTACTACCAGGTTTTGGAATAATCCCATAAAACCCTTGTAAAGTGGTTGTTTTTTGGTGAATCCTGATTGAGAATCGGGTGCGAAAAGAATTACACATACAAGCTGACCTTCAGGGACCCATACTTGGCTAGGATAGATTAATTCTCTCTAGCTGCATGATCCAAGCTCCTATATACAGGATCGGAGAGTACAGACTGTGAAGTTTACGCACATAATGTTGCATGTTGGCACCCCTTTCCCTTTTAGCGCCTGTGTACAAAAAGGGTGACCGCACATCAGCAGCCAACTACCGACCAGTCTCCATCATTTCTCATCTAATCAAACAGCTTTTTGTCTCCGCACCAACATGGTTTCCGTAAAAAAAGGTGTTGTCTCACTCAACTTTTGGACCATGTAGACAATATCCTAAAGACCCTTAATAGTGGCGATGAAGTACGCTAAGGCATTTGATAAAGTGGATGACAATATTCTTCTAGCCAAAACTAAATGCTACAGCATTACAGGCAAAACTCTACAGTGGCTTGCTGAGTTCTTAAAGAATCGCCTGCAGGCAGTGGTTGTGTGTTAGGTCCAATCTTGTTTATTCTTTATATAGATGACCAACTGGACACGTTATTGACTGCTCTTGGAAAGGTCTCTGCTGATGACATGAAGCTTATAGGCAAGATTGCTGATTTAGTAGCAAGGTGTTTGCTTCAAGAGGACCTGTTTAATGTCATCCGTTAGTTATCAACTACAAGCTTAATAAATCCCTGCTACTGAGAGAACTCCCCTTCTCCAACAAAGACTGTAACAGCTAAAGCTTATCAAACGGGTTAACTATCAAACCAACACAAACAGTCAGGGACCTTGGAGTACTCCTTTCAAATGACTGCTCATGGACGCCCCATATCCATCAGATGCTGAAAACTGCTAGGGAAATGGCATCATGGGTTTTTTTTTTTTTTTTTTTTTTAAATTTTTTAAAGAGAGGCTGGGCCAAGATAGCCCACGAGAGGATAGCATTGAGATGCTCTGCCTACCTCTGGGGTGTGGCAACCTTGGGGAAGGTTGCCGGTGAAATCAGAGTGATTGGTGGAGGATGGTGTAAGATGATATATGAGTCAAAATGATACGCTTAAATGCCAGCTGGGTTTGGAAAAGTAAAACGAGACGAGACAGCATATGAGATAATACTTTAAGTCACCCCGGTCTGATCCAGCTCTTCCGGCACAATTAAGCGTTTGGTGCGGTTTGCGAAATTGACAATAGTGGTGATGTGTTGGTTGTCGAATATGTCATTGACTGAGAGGTAGTAGTCCTGGAAATATTGACCTCTAATTTGGGCAATAGCTGGACACTGTCCAAGGAAGTGTGAGACAGTTTCCTCTCCGTCGCCGCACATAGGACAAGCACTGGTGTTTGATTTGCAAATGGTGTGAAGGTGTTTGTTTAAGCCGCAGTGACCCGTGATGAGGTGAACTGCAGTTCTGTAATCTTGTCTGTTTTTGCTGAGTGTAGTGTTGAGGTTTTTGATGATTTTGGCATGCTTGTGGCCGAGTGTCAGTTTGGTGTGTCTGGGACCGTCGCGTCAGTGGGTCTTCAGTGTCATCAGTGACAGATCACCTTTCCTGATGCTCCCCCTTTTCAAAACAAGGTGAGAAGAAAGCTGCAATACTATTGCCCAGTCTGGAACCCCAGACTATAGAAACAATTTTTATTTCTCCCAACAATTTGTATTTGGTCGATGTAAGAGCCTTTCTCCAAAAATTCATCTGGACTAACATTTTGGTATGTGCAAAAGCTTTCAGGCCTGCACATTCCTTGCCCCGTTAGTTGCCTGTCCATTTACAACCCAATCAACAGTCGAGGACCACTAAACAATAAATCGCAACAATATGAATCAGTGGCCACTCATTGCGAGAATTCCTTTGCAGTGAATGTTGTCCATTGTTAATGGACTCACCCGGCGCCCGCTACTTCGTAGCACTTGCCTCATGCTATTTCGAAGAAATTTAATAGTAAGTAAAACAAAATTTAGTAAAACAAAATTTTTATTTACCACAAAACAATCAATACATATTTAATATTATTATACATTTACAAATAAATCTAAATTTAAATTCAGCTATATACACAATACACAGCCCGCCGCGCAGACGCCACACATTGCTGAGAGATTCTCTGGTGCAGATGTAAGCGCCGCTCGCACGAGGATTGTTATCTTACAATTACATGTCACGATATATTATTAATTATCAGAGAATTTTAGAAGCAAAATAATTATTGCATATTGTGAAAATTTCGGTCGTTAACGCAGTACAGGGCGTGGACACTGCAATGCTAATAACGGAAAATTCTGAGGCACGAGTTTCATTCAGCTACCCAATTTATATGTGACATGTACTTGTATTAAATTCAGATAAATGTTAGTAATAATAGACGTTAACATTTTGCAATTTACAATTGCACTTAAATCACATCTAGCAAGTTACTAATTCTTTGCACTATATATGTTACGTCACTATAGTAAAACAAAGTATTTTTTTAGTAAAACAAAGTATTTTATTTATTAGCAGTGCAATCAATTCATATGATATAATTATAAGAATATAATAGTATGTCACACCTATTTAACTGTTACGTTCGAGTAGTTGTGCCATGGCTAAATTTAACTAGGACCAGTGGTGTCGATTAACATTTAAAAGGTGATTCTAAGTGACACAAATGGAAAATTTTAAGAAAAGACGGATCAAAACACAGATCCAAGGACAAGGAGACCCCACTGCAGGACCATACATGCTATTGGCTTGTGCATGGCCCAAAAGGTTCCAGTTGTCCAGGAAACTGTACGTAGCTGGTCAACTAGTTTTGAATTCAGACTAGGCTTGATGAGTTCTGGGGTTTCTAGAGGTAAGATTTGATGGTGCCAGGTTTGTTCAGGCGGACATGGAAATTATGCGAGGAATATATAGGTATATAAAAATCATATCAATATAAAAATAGATCCAAAAATAGATCCAAAGATTCACACGGCAGTCAGGGAACTTCCAGACAGGATGCTTTTGAAACTGGTATAATTAGCGCTTTTGTAATTAGTTGTATGCAAGGGATGGGATGCTGATTGACTAAGCTGGTTCAATGCCCCAGCTATTTAGGGGGAGCCACTCAATTTCACGCCCAGGTGTTTTCAATTGCTGGGTTTCAAGTAACAGCTTTTTGATACGGCTCTTGATAATTGAGATGGGGGAGGAAAGGTCGGAAAATTTACTAGAGCCAGGGACCATGACATTGTTTTCATTAGGAGTGCATTTGTCGAATATTTCATCAGCCAAACTGTTCCATATAGTCGTACCTTTGACGACAAAATTGTGTTTAGAAATGTCAAGTTTGTGTCGGGGGACCCGCATAGTTTGGCTACATGCTCTGGAACTTGTTTGGAATAAACTTGTCAGAGAGATAGGTTGATGCAGTTTCAAGATTTTAAACAGTTCAGTGGATATATGTTGGGTGTACAGGTTGTGGATTGACATGATTTTCTCGGTATTGAATATTGGCTTAGTGTTTTCCAAAGCAAAGCTCCTTTTTGAGATGTGTTCACTGTATGGTCTTGCACGTGCACATGTTTCATAATACTCTGCCCGGTCAAAGCTTGGTTTGCTTCCAAATAGAAGGCGTACACATCTTTTTTGGATGGAGAACAGTTTAGATAGTCTATAAGGTGTGACACCACCCCAGCTACTGATACAGTAGCTCATATGAGACTTGAATAAGGAGTCATACAGCTTATGGTACTCTGTTTCTGGAATAAACTTCATAATAGCATATTTCATTCATATTGTACGTTATATAAGATAAAAATAAACATTTTATAATTGTTTCAATGTTCAACACTGCTAAAAACCAAATACCTACTTGCCCATCGATTAAGCAGTTGCCAAAACAAGGCTCAAAGTTAATTTATCTTCACACCTCGTTTTGGAGACTGAAGGATGTCAATAAATAAATAATGGATAATATCAATACTGAATATGATGTAAGTAAGTAAGTAAAAATTATGACATAACATCATCACACATGTCTACAAAGTATCAAAACACTATATGGAAAAATATAAATATCTTACCATACCACCAAAATTAATAAATTATTAACTACAACTTTATTTTTAAAAAATTTTCAAATAAATTCAGAAAGCATCCCCAAAAGATAACCCTATTCATACTTCTTGTCATACGTTGTATGACCCGCCGTGCACGAGTGCGCGGCTCCCCTGTATTGTAGAAACTCTACTATAGTGAAGCGACATTGGGGGTCACCACGTGATACAACATACTTCTCAGTGGAATAAAGATTTATAAATCGCTTTTTTGCCACAAAAGGGTGGAAATAAAGATAATCGTTATGCTTCTCTTTATTACTAGCATAGCTAGGTCCTTCAATTTTCCCTAATACTCCCTTTTAATACTTTCAACGCTACTATATAACAAATAATTTGAGATCATGAATACGATGTAGTTACATTGAAACGTCGAGTGAACTCTTTTCCCTAATAAGAGCATTTTTACTTATCGCAGTAACCGGGATAAAAATAATTTTGCACAGAATACATTACAACAATGAGACTCATAAACAATACTCCAATCCAGATTTTACACTTCATTTACTGGGCCGCGCTCAGCCTGTCATTCAGCTGAGAGCATTGCGCGTTTGAGAGGGTTACATATCGTCAGGCTATGTTTATGACCACGATAGCCTGAGGTCCCCAGGTAACACTTCATTTGAAGTCATTAGAAATATATTTAAAAATCACATCTTTCTTAAACGGATGATGATTAATCACTCTACACTCGACTGTCACGTGACCTTTTCAACCCTATCTTTAGCTGGTCCTGAACGACTATTCGAAACCTTAACCCTCTAATCTGATCCCAACCCTAACCCTAACCCAATCCTTAACAAAAGCATATGCTGAAACCATAACCCTAACTAGATATTAGACTAACTTCCTTATACGGTCATATCACGTGATCGAAACAGTTTTTCGCCAATATCTCGTCAGGGGTGCATTTTAACCCTATGTCATGGGGGCAGGGGGGGGGGTGATTCGGAATCAGCGTCCGAAAATACATTGAATGGAGTTGGTTTCAACTGTCTGGGGCCCTTTTAGAACAATCTCGAAGATCGACTGTAGAGTGATTTAGCACGCTCGTTCTTAAACCCTTCTAATTTAATTTTAAAACTTTAAGTCACCGAGTTCTTAACATCTGAAGGGAGTTTGTTTGATCCAGTAAAGAATAACTCGCTCTGGAAGAAATGAAAAGGACGTCACTTCTCCGACGCATCGCGCCGCGCACTTTGTTCACCTAACCATGTTCACCTAACTATGTGCTTTCACAAACAACAAAGCGGGAGGCGCGGGGGCGCGCCACTACAAGCGCAAGGGCTCTGGATATAACAACGCACTTCGTTTTACCTAGGGCTAGGGACATCCGGCTTTTCCACTCATAAACAAAAATTGCATTGAAACCAATCGTTGATGCGGCAGAATGACACACTGACCACGACGCATAGTAAGCATTGAAATTGTTAATCAAGGCAACCATGTAATTAAGTTTGGTAGACTCTATGCACTATGGTTTATTGATAAGACAAAGCAGGGCCGCGCTGTATATTATATAGCGTCAGTGATTTTTGAGAATATTGAAGTAAAAAAATTGAACAGACTAGCGAACTTTTCACTTAACCATGTGCTTTCGCGCCGCTGCGGGCGCGCTTATTTCACAAGTTAAGCTTCATTGCCAGAAAGAGGAAAAAACTTTTATTGCTCTACGTGGGTACATAAACAAAATGGATAACAAACAACAAATATGAAACCCCCCTCAAAAGTTTTGCACTTAACCTCATCCCACAGGAGGACTATTGTGCAAAGAAACTGCTGCTCACTGCTGCTTACTGCTGCTCACTGCTGCTCGCACTGCTGCTCACTGCTGCTAACTGCTGCTAACTGTTGCTAACTGCTGCTCACTACTGCTCACTGCTGCTGTCGCGCGCGCGCCCATAGCAGCAGTGAGCTAGCAGCATTATCTTTGCACTATAGTCCTCTTGTGATCCATGCCCATGCCACGATGATGGAGTAGATCATGTGTTTTGGAAATTATGTGTTTATAAGTTTTGATTGCTTAAAGTTCAGAAATATTGGTATTTAATTGAATGTAAATATTGTTTGAGTGACCTTTTATCGCATTGAAGTGAATATTGTCCCTTGAACTTTAAAATAGTGCTTAACTGTTAAGTATTTGATTTTTATAAGTCTAAGTCCGATTAACATAGTTTAAAGAATTTTGCCGAAGCCTTAAGTTAGGCACTGATTTGTTCATATTATATTATATTATATTATTATGGAATAAAATCGATCTTTTTTCTTTAAACTCTGTGCAAGTTTGAAGTAACATCTATGTTCCAAATTCTAGTTTGTTAGGCATTTGTGATGCAAACACCTTTTGTTGGTTATGGTTATTTTTGGGATGATAATATTTTTGACTGTTTTTGATAGATCTCTCGACTGATTTTGGCTTTTACTAAAAATGTCCACAACCGACAATATTTGGAAGTTTATTGTACTTTTTAAAGAGCTTACGGAAGAATCCTGCTTTCCAGCTGATAATTAAGTAAAAGAATATGAATCTGTTTAAAACCCACAGCTTGAACAATTTGAAAACTTAGAGAGCGTGTTTTTGCAAATAGAAGCCCAGTAGTCTAACTGGGTTAAAACTATTATTTGTGGTTTCACAATACAGTATACATAATATCTCTTAGTTGCATGGCACGACAAATGAAACCTCTCACATTGGCAGTACTTTTGAGTATTTTAGTGACAGTATGGTCTGACGAACTTCTTCGGCTAATACTTGTTAGTGAACAAAATTATGTTTACACTGAAAAAAAAACTCCAGAAAATTAAGATAGCATGCTTTCTGTATGGCATGGTTTATTAATTGCACATATCTCTTTTGGACATTTAGTTCAGCTTAGTAGTTTTCACCAGTTCTAACCTAACAATGAATTTACTCTCAGGTGATTTCAAATGGAGAGACAACGCCATCCATATCACTAAAAGATAGCGCTTGGGCCCAAGAGGGAGTTAGTCAACTAACAAAGGTTAATATATAATTTGGCTTATACCTTGAATCCTGTCATAAGACCTGACACATGCATTTATACCAGGTTTTTTGACCCTTCACAGTGGCGTAACGTTGCCTGTTGGCGCCCCCGCCGAAAATTCACCCCCCTGTTGGCGCCCCCTCCCCTTTTGGCCCCGTCCCTAAAATTGAACAAATTAGGTGATCTTAGACGATATGCCATTAAAATCTCTAAAAAAGTATGTTTCTAGAGCAAAACGCTCAATTTTGCTAGTACCTCAGTTAAGTTTTTAAAAATTGTCCCACATTCAAACGACAATTTTGCGCCCCCCTAAGATGGCGCCCCTCGCACAGCAGGGTCAGCGGGGCCTTCCGTTACGCCACTGCCCCTTCATAGTTCTATAGTTGTAATGATTGGTACTTGGCTTACCAGCTTACTTTATCCTATAATGAGGGTACCTTGGATTGTAAACACAGCAAGTTTTCATTTAATTGTACATTTTTGTACACCCACTCAAATCTTTCTAAATGTCATGTTTGTTACTTCTGTGGACATACAATTACACACATATACAAGGAAATCAAACAAAATGATCGGCAGTCCTGTGTTAGTTTGCCTGTTTTCAAAACACGAAATCACAATCATTGAAATTGTTACTTCAATTTCAGTATGGGATTGACCAGGAATACAGAAACGGCATCTACATACGAAATTTGTACACAGATCCTAGCTCATCTCTTTATCTTCTGGATACAGAGTATCACAGAAAACTGGTTTGTTTGTGAATATGATCAACAGATTTCATATCTTTTATTCTGTAAACAGGGGCTCAAAATTTTTGACTATTTTTTTGAGCTTATAAAAAAATCTAACTACTCAATTGTAAAATGTCGCAAAATTCCCAAACGTTTGGGTAGTAAATCCCCCCCCTGCCCCCCTCCTTGTGTGATGATATCCTACACTCCCACAGATTGAGGTACAAAGTTCGCCCCATGATGCCAATCTGATGAGCACCGAGACATTTCTCCGAGGATTGTACAAATCAACCAACAAAACACAGGTAAACACAGGCAACAAGGAATACAGATAGCACTCTGCTACTGGAGTATAAGCTTATTATGTAATTAATACTATGACTTATCTATCTTCTGGTATTACGTTTTATCTATTATGCTCTTCACAAGTAATTTAAACAACTTGCATTGTAATATATCGTTCTCGCTTAACAATCTTGCTTTATGTATAAAATACTATCTATGTCAGGAAAATGGCAAACCAGATGTGATGAGACCCGTGCCAATTTACGAAACGGAGGTAATAATATAACGGAGGTAGCAGGGACGTAAATTTGATGTCAATTTTCAATAAATTACCGTAAATATCTTGCTTATAATGATCGAAATACTACATCAAATTGTTATTAAACGATCCTAAAATACATTTCTCTCAGTACCTTGATATGACAGATTGCATCGGGAGACGAGAGTTAGTAACGCGTGAAGAAATGAACACATGGGACATTGTAGCTTTCTGGGGTCAAAATCAGGTGCTTTTCAAAAAGAAAACTGGATACCTCCGGAGAAATTATCAGTTCCTTTTTGAGAAGCAAATCCGGTATTCTCGACTATAGACCATTCCAAAAGTTCTCTCAATATTTGTCCGTTACTTCTATTAAGACCTATAATACTTCTGTGCACAATTACCCCCCCCCCCCCCCCCCGCTTCCTACACCCCTGCTTCTCAGGACAAGATATACGACCTGTATAACAAAGTAGGATATGACGGTAACGGAATCAACATGTTAGAGCAACTGTTCAAAGTTCACCAATATCAGGTAAAGGGTAATAGTAAGGTAATAGTAAGGTAATAGTAAGGTAATAGTAAGGTTATAGTAAGGTAATAGTAAGGTAATAGTAAGGTAATAGTAAGGTAATAGTAAGGTAATATTAAGGTAATAGTAAGGTAATAGTAAGGGGTCACTACTTAGGAGCTTGTTCACATCTATATTCTTTATAAGATATTATCAGGTAACTAATAAAATATTCTGAGTTTTGATCTCCAGGGTTTCTACGAGTTGGTCCAAGAAAAAGCTCTGACTGTTTACGAAGATATTCTAAAACAAGGACACGACTTGATCTGGAAGAGCAAAATGTTTTGGAGTATGGACAGTGTGAGAGCTCTAGCTGGTACATATTAACAATGCTCATATAATAACAATGCTGATATAATAAATAATAATGCCCATAATACTGATATATTATATATCGTATCAGTTAGTAGCATCATATCTCACTTATTTCCTCTTAGTCTTTATTTATTCTGATGTTCTCAGGATCCCCATGACCACTGTTTGATAAGCCCTCAGCAGCATTCCTTATATGGGCATCACGTGTTTACTCAGCAGCAAATATTTCACATTCTTCTTCTCATGAGGCAGGTAAGTAAACTGATTACACACCACTACTCTTACCTTAACGGACTTTATTTGAAACGGAAATTATTTGAACGGACTTTATTCGGACGCTGGCAGCCCTAATATTATGTCCGTCCAAATCAAATTCCCTTCCTTTTACCCAAATGTATTCTACTGCAAACTTATTATCCAGGCTATTACTACTTTTAAATTTCGGTAAATTTCGATTCCTATCGAACTTAATAAACGATATCATTAGATAAATAGAAACAAGTTGTGGCTAAATCACATTATGGCATAACTTTCTTTGACTTCCTCGGTCATTATTCGCTGAAATTTAAAAACTAATCGCCAAAAAATGAAATGTTTATTTAAGGTTTTTGAAATGCCGTTCAAAAAATGAACGGTCAAATTACGAAAACTATAAACATGCTCATCACCCAAATTTTTATGGTCAACCAGAGCATTTTGGCTTATTTATTAATAAATATACTATGTACTGTAAAACCATCGATTTGTGCGAGGAATTTATTTTCGCGATTTTTACGAGGAATTTATTTTCGCGATTTTTACGACACAAAAATTCGCGAAAATTGATGCTGCGAAAATTATCCACTTTTAGAAAGAAGTAAACGCCCACGAAAAAACTGATTGACACGTGCACATCACCTGAAACGTGCACAGCACCTGACACGTGCACATCACCTGACACGTGCACAGCACCTGACACGTGCACATCACCTGACACGTGCACATCACCTGACACGTGCACAGCACCTGACACGTGCACAGCACCTGACACGTGCACATCACCTGACACGTGCACATCACCTGACACGTACACAGCACCTGACACGTGCACATCACCTGACACGTACACAGCACCTGACACGTGCACATCACCTGACACGTACACAGCACCTGACACGTGCACATCACCTGACACGTACACAGCACCTGACACGTGCACAGCACCTGACACGTGCACAGCACCTGACACTTGCACAGCACCTGACACGTGCACAGCGCCTGACACTTGCACAGCACTTGACACGTGCACAGCACCTGACACGTGCACAGCACCTGACACATGATATGTCTGTTGTATGCCTTACATTATGAACGTTTGGGCGATGTTTGGGCGACACTCCAAATATTGACCTAATATTCAGGAAAAGCAATGAGTGAGCTGGATACTAAAGTACCTAATATTCAGGAAAAGCAATGAGTGAGCTGGATACTAAAGTATCAGAATGTAAGAACAGGAAGTGTACAACAGATGCACTACTTGTAATCTACACTTGCACTGGGGAGACACTAGCTTGGGTTAGTTCTCTTTTAGTTACTAGTATCATAATCTACCATATATTATTCACATATTATTCACATATTATACTTATAATTACTTCAACTACCCCAGCTGCCTGAGATAAAAATAGAAGAACACTAAAAACCCGCTAGTCGAAAGCTTTGTCCGAGGAAATTTTAAAAATCAGTTATGTTTTAATTTCTCTTTACTGTAGAAAGTATGGATTTGTATTTTACAATGACGACAACGTTGTACTTATTCGGATTCTATAAACGATACTTTTTACCGTATTAACAAATGTTAATCACAACCAAAATTATGAATAGTTGTAGCGTGAGCGTAAACGTGAGTTAGTAATGACGCATGGCAACGCGCGTTGCTAATCTGTGTTGGTCGCGCACGTGCAATATCCTGCTGTTGCTACGCAACGACGTAGCCAAACAATGATGAAAGACGATTTACACGTCATGTACTTTGAAAGCTCCTGCTAAACAAACTTTTCGTATCACTAAACTATGTTTCAAACAAGTGATGAAATTACGCCATTATTCGAACGTTTATTTTTCCTCTCTTCCGACGTTAATTATAAAAAATTTAAGAATGCAGTCTGCTATTCTTATCCTTTTTCCAACTTCATTTGCGAGCTGAAATTGACCACAAAAAAGGGTCGGGTTTTGCCGGGGGGATTTCGTAAAGTTTAAAATATAATATAGATAAAATAAGATTTTGGGTCGAAATCTAGATTAAGAATAAACTTTTGAAAGATTTTTTTTTAAAAACAGATCTATATTCTCCGATAAGTTGTTCCTTGTATCGAATTATAAAGTTCAACTCCGGGAAAAAACCAATTATATTCCAAAAATGAAAATTATAATATGTATTATCGTAGCTATGCGCCTGTTTCCACTCTAACAACTCTAAAAGCGCATTAATATGATAATTTCAACTAAAGGCAACTTTGTATGTGCTCAGCTATGTTTTGTTCGACAAGCTCCATTTTAATCGTTTCAATGAGATCTAATCTTGTGTGAGTTTTGACTTTAAATTGATAACACTTATTATATATATATATATTTTGAGTAAACATTGGCTGGTACATCGGGCCGGTCCCCAAAAAAAATCGATAAAGCAATTTAATTTTCTTTATGTTCTGCCCTTTCGAGTTTACAAATGTCAAAAGATGGGATTCATTTTATGACCGAAGATTTCGCCAGTACTGCTGTACCCCCCCCCCCCCCCCCCCCCTCAATAATAACCTCATGATGACTCCCTTCTCGTTGCACTGTATCCTGCCCTGTTTCTCTAATCATGATATGTAACATTCCCCCGTACTCAATAAGTAGATTTAACTCCAGATAATCGTTAAGTTGCCGGCCCCAGTATGATAAGTAAGGGTAAAGGGTAAAGTAAAGGGTTGCCGGTTATTTGCGAGTTCAGATAACGGTAGGACAAATAGAAACAGTCGGGGGGGGGGGGGGGGGGGGGTGTTACATTCCGTAATACACCGTCATATTATCGTACAGAGTAGCAGTAGTCTACTAAAGTCTACTACTCTGGTGTAGGAATGTAACACACATCTAGCTAATAAACAATGTTAGACAATATTCATTATATTAACTAAGTACGGGTATTGATGAGGGCATACAGATAGTTTATTACACATATAATATTATCGTCCAATATATTATATCTTTTTCTAGAAGCTTACAAAAATAAAAAGATAACATAAACCAAGAAGTCTCATGCTTTATCATCACACTCCCGTCCTTCATACAACATTTTCCCCAAAATTCGAAGTCTAGCTTCAATAAAAGAATGTTCACTACAGATAATGTGTCACGTGATAATGTATCACGTGACCTTAGTGACCTTAGTGACCATGCTGGTAACAACACCGTGCCTTTAGAACTCCCTGAAATTAAGGAGTATAATGTATGTATTAGGTATTATACATATTATATTCTCAACCCCGATCATACATTATTGTGGGGGGGGGGTCGGACCGCATTATTGTGGAGGGGGGGGGGGGGGGGGGGGGGTTCGGACCCCATTATTGTGGGAGGGGGGGTTCGGACCCCATTATTGTGGGGGGGGGGGGGGGTTCGGACCCCATTATTGTGGGGGGGGGGGGTTCGGACCCCATTATTGTGGAGGGGGGAGGTCGGACCACATTATTGTGGGGGGGGGGGGGGGGGGGTCGGACCACATTATTGTGGGGGGGGGGGGGTCGGACCATATTATTGGGGGGGAGGGGGTCGGACCACATTATTGTGGGGGGGGGGGGACCACATTATTGTGGGGGGGGGGGACTACATTATTGTGGGGGGGGGGGGTCGGACCACATTATTGTGGGGGGGGGGGGGGGGGGGGGTCAGACCACATTATTATTGGGGGGGGGGTCGGACCACATTATTGTGGAGGGGGGAGGTCGGACCACATTATTGTGGGGGGGGGGGGGTCGGACCACATTATTGTGGGGGGGGGGGGGTCGGACCATATTATTGGGGGGTCGGGGGTCGGACCACATTATTGTGGGGGGGACCACATTATTGTGGGGGGGGGGACTACATTATTGTGGGGGGGGGGGGGGGGGGGTCGGACCACATTATTGTGGGGGGGGGGGGTCGGACCATATTATTGTGGGGGGGGGGGGGGTCGGACCACATTATTGTGGGGGGGACCACATTATTGTGGGGGGGGGGGACTACATTATTGTGGGGGGGGGGGGGGTCGGACCACATTATTGTGGGGGGGGGGGTCGGACCATATTATTGTGGGGGGGGGGGGGGGGGGTCGGACCACATTATTGTGGGGGGGGGGTCGGACCGCATTATTGTGGAGGGGGGAGGTCGGACCACATTATTGTGGGGGGGGGGGGGTCGGACCACATTATTGTGGGGGGGGGGGGGTCGGACCATATTATTGGGGGGGAGGGGGTCGGACCACATTATTGTGGGGGGGGGACCACATTATTGTGGGGGGGGACTACATTATTGTGGGGGGGGGGGGGGGTCGGACCACATTATTATTGGGGGGGGGGGGGGGTCGGACCACATTATTGTGGGGGAGGGGTCGGACCCCATTATTGTGGGGGGGGGGTCGGACCGCATTATTGTGGAGGGGGGGGGGGGGGGGGGGGTTCGGACCCCATTATTGTGGGAGGGGGGGTTCGGACCCCATTATTGTGGGGGGGGGGGGTTCGGACCCCATTATTGTGGGGGGGGGGGGGTTCGGACCCCATTATTGTGGAGGGGGGAGGTCGGACCACATTATTGTGGGGGGGGGGGGGGGGGTCGGACCACATTATTGTGGGGGGGGGGGGGGGGTCGGACCATATTATTGGGGGGGAGGGGGTCGGACCACATTATTGTGGGGGGGGGGGACCACATTATTGTGGGGGGGGGGGACTACATTATTGTGGGGGGGGGGGTCGGACCACATTATTGTGGGGGGGGGGGGGGGTCAGACCACATTATTATTGGGGGGGGGTCGGACCACATTATTGTGGAGGGGGGAGGTCGGACCACATTATTGTGGGGGGGGGGGGTCGGACCACATTATTGTGGGGGGGGGGGGTCGGACCATATTATTGGGGGGTCGGGGGTCGGACCACATTATTGTGGGGGGGACCACATTATTGTGGGGGGGGGGACTACATTATTGTGGGGGGGGGGGGGGGGGTCGGACCACATTATTGTGGGGGGGGGGGGGTCGGACCATATTATTGTGGGGGGGGGGGGTCGGACCACATTATTGTGGGGGGGACCACATTATTGTGGGGGGGGGGGGACTACATTATTGTGGGGGGGGGGGGTCGGACCACATTATTGTGGGGGGGGGGTCGGACCATATTATTGGGGGGGGGGGGGGGTCGGACCACATTATTGTGGGGGGGGGGTCGGACCGCATTATTGTGGAGGGGGGAGGTCGGACCACATTATTGTGGGGGGGGGGGGGTCGGACCACATTATTGTGGGGGGGGGGGGTCGGACCATATTATTGGGGGGGAGGGGGTCGGACCACATTATTGTGGGGGGGGGACCACATTATTGTGGGGGGGGACTACATTATTGTGGGGGGGGGGGGGGTCGGACCACATTATTATTGGGGGGGGGGGGGTCGGACCACATTATTGTGGGGGAGGGGTCGGACCCCATTATTGTGGGGGAGGGGGTCGGACCCCATTATTGTGAGGGGGGGGGAGGGGGTTCATTGATGGGATATTAAAAGATTAAAGCGTGATGTCTGACCAGTTAAGGAGAGAAGCTAAGATAGCAGTAGTGAAGCTAAGATAGTAGTAGTGATCATCCAGAAGCCAGGACTTGTAACAGTACTGCCACTTACATTTGCATCTGTATAAAGACAGTCATTATATTTCATTATTTTACCAGAAGTGAGATTACAAGATTAATCTTAGAATGTTATATATTTGAACTGGATAATTCCCCCACCTGTCTGTATTTCTACAATTAGAATGTTATATATTTGAACTGGATAATTCCCCCACCTGTCTGTATTTCTACTATTAGAATGTTATATATTTGAACTGGATAATTCCCCCACCTGTCTGTATTTCTACTATTAGAATGTTATATATTTGAACTGGATAATTCCCCCACCTGTCTGTATTTCTACAATTAGAATGTTATATATTTGAACTGGATAATTCCCCCACCTGTCTGTATTTCTACAATTAGAATGTTATATATTTGAACTGGATGATTCCCCCACCTGTCTGTATTTCTACAATTGTCCACTTGTACTTGTCCGCGTGTACCCCCTTGCTGATATCATGAGCTAGTGGTTCCCACATGTCTCCAATCTTTGCAGCTGCCTGCCAATAATGGGTTCCTGCGTCTTCAGGTTCCACAGCGTTTATAGAGGTTACTGAGTCCTCAGACATTTCAAACCTGGTGAGGTTTATATCTCAATATCATAGCAGCAAATAATATTCTATAATATTACACGTGTTTATTTTAGTACTATCACGTGACAATACATGTGCTGTTATTTCAACCCAATATTCTGCTTTTCACTAAGGCGGCTCCAGAAAAAATTCTCTGTATGCGACTTCAGAACTATTCGTTGTGCAATACTAATCACGTGACAGTGGGATTGGCACGTGCAATATTTATCACGTGACAGTGAAATTGGCACGTGCAATATTTATCACGTGACAGTGAAATTAGCACGTGCAATACTTATCACGTGACAGTGGAATTGGCACGTGCAATATTCATCATGTGACAGTGGAATTGGCACGTGCGATACTTATCACGTGACAGTGGGATTGGTAATGTTGCACGTGCGATACTTATCACGTGACAGTGGGATTGGTAATGTTGCACGTGCAATACTAAAGTACTAATAAACTAACTGATTAGTAAATAAACTGATACCACTCATTTGAAAAAGGCTTATAAACATTAGTCGTAAAATGTGGTAAACGTGTGTTAGTTGCTGACGTGGAACATTTTAGACTACAAAGTAGTAGTAATATACACCAGAGTGCAAACTTAAGTCACAATTAAGGTGATCTACGAACACGCTCAGCCATAATTTGTTTGCCTTTTTTAATAAGTTTTAACAGTTATCAAAAACAATTAATTATTAATTAATTATATCCCGTGAAAATTAATTATATCCCGTGAAAATGACTGCGATTAAAAGTGAAATATATATAGTAACAATATGCATAATACAGTAGTATTGTAGTAACAATAACCACAGCTGTAGTAGTAGTAGTAACAATAACCACAGTACTGTAGTATTGTAGCAACAATAACCACAGTAGTAGTAGTAGTATTGTAATAACAATAACCACAGTAGTAGTAACAATAACCACAGTAGTACCTAGTAGTATTGTCGTAACAATAACCACAGTAGTAGTAGTATCGTAGTAACAATAACCACAGTAGTAGTAACAATAACCACAGTAGTACCTAGTAGTATTGTAATAACAATAACCACAGTAGTACCTAGTAGTATTGTCGTAACAATAACCACAGTACTGTAGTAGTGATATTGTCGTAACAATAACCACAGTACTGTAGTAGTAGTATTGTCGTAACAATAACCACAGTACTGTAGTAGTAACCACGGAGCCGTTCTTGCAAATAACACACCAACTACTCACGTAAACTTCTCTTCAGTTTTAGCCTTATTCATTGCTTCAAGGAGTGAGTCGCCGTCAGCAAGACCAGACACAACCATGTTAAAGGCGTATGAGCCAGATATAACGGTTATGGAGTAATCTTTATCTTTAATCTCTGCGTGGCCGAGTGTGAAACACAGAGCAGTCACCAGTATAAACGTCTTAAACATAACGGAGCTGAAATTAGCGACAAATTAGATGAGGGACGGAAAGAGAGTGAGTAGAGCTAGCTCACGGAGGAGAGAGAGAGAGAGGGTTTACATAAAATGTTGGAATGGCTTTCAACTTCCAGCAAGATAAACAAAGGACTCATAATATCACGGTCCACGAGCTATTTAAAGCTTATATTTAACGGGGGAGCATTATCACGCACTACCACACTACGCTACATATCAGCATTAACAATATAATATGATAAAGTAATATTAAACATACCCTCGCAATGGTTACCAACTAATAAAGGAATTTACCTGCAGGGTACCTGACTTCAAAGATAGCTAGAAATTGTAAATAGTTGAGACGGGACCCCTAGTTGTGGGGAGACGGGACCCCTGATCACATTACAGGGCACGTACCCCCTCGTTAGACCATTCACAACTGTCTGACGGACGGTGAAAAAGTTAACTTTTAAAGTTTTATTTTTCGCATATTACATATATATACATATATATTGACATAAATTATGAATAATTACCTCTGCTTAGCGTAAGAATATGCTTCAAAGATCTAAAAGGAAAATTCAAAAATGTGAATATTTATTATTTAACTTACTATAATATATTTTACTTAACGCTAGAAAGATGAAATCTAATAAACGGAACATGTATTTAAAAGGGCCAATTAGACCAATTCGAATAATACACTAAATTCTGAAAACTGTGAACATCTCATGAGAGATAAGCCAGTAAGCAGATGCTTGTTTTCAATCCTCATTACCATCTTCCTAAGATATCTGTCTCACATGGTTTGACTCAGATGTCTTTGATCTATGAAGAAACAAGGAACGTCTACATAAGAGTCTCCTAACACCAATAAATATTTAAAATTTTCCAGAGCTAGGGGGGATTTTTAAAATGTCGTTGATGCAAAAATGGACGCAAATTTTGAAGATGCTGATAACAGAAAGTTTAAATCGTTTGTGAAATCTAAATCAAATTATCACTGCATCCCTGAAACAGTGAACTATAATGGTTGCTTGCTCCTCAGGGCAGTGCGAGTCGTTCAGGGGGGGGGGGGGGGGGGGGGCTTGTTCACAAGTTAATGACTATTTCTCCGCAGGTGGAGAGCGCGGAGTGGGGGAGGGGGGGGGGGGGGCAGTGCGAGTTGTTCAGGGGGGGCCTTGTTCACTTAATAACTATTTCTCCGCAGGTGCAGGCGCGGAAGGGGGGGGGGGAGGGGGGGGGGGGTGGGGGGCAGTGCGAGTTGTTCAGGGGGGGGGGGGAGGGGGGGGGGGGGTGGGGGGCAGTGCGAGTTGTTCAGGGGGGGGGGGGCCTTGTTCACTTAATGACTATTTCTCCGCAGGTGCAGAACGCGCTAGGTATCTTCAAGGGTTACGAGCCAGTACCTGCCACCATGCTACAACTGTTCACTAAATGACTATTTCTCCGCAGGTGCAGAACGCGCTAGGTATCTTCAAGGGTTACGAGCCAGTACCTGCCACCATGCTACAACTGTTCACTTAATGACTATTTCTCCGCAGGTGCAGAACGCGCTAGGTATCTTCAAGGGTTACGAGCCAGTACCTGCCACCATGCTACAACTGTTCACTTAATGACTATTTCTCCGCAGGTGCAGAACGCGCTAGGTATCTTCAAGGGTTACGAGCCAGTACCTGCCACCATGCTACAACTGTTCACTTAATGACTATTTCTCCGCAGGTGCAGAACGCGCTAGGTATCTTCAAGGGTTACGAGCCAGTACCTGCCACCATGCTACAACTGGAGGTGTGGGGCTCTGATAATGGGACTTATGTAATTGTAAAAAAGACACAGAACCTCAGAACCAAGGAGGTGAGCTCACTATTAACTAATATTATTTAATATTAATTGGTTTGTGTTTTAACAAGGCCGTAACTCACGCATTCTTCAGGTCTCCTGAAACGTTTGATATGGTTTATGTTGATTTGATATTCTAAACAGAAATTACGGTAAACGCGTCGCACATGTATTAATGATTATCCAAACATTAAATTGAACAATATGTTTAGTAGCAGTTAGCATAACAATAATATGTTCAGGTTAAAGTTAGGAACTGCACAGTAAAGTGTAACGCAGACACATTCCTTGCTATCACAGGTTACTTTTATCCATATTATTATCTTAGTACCTGGTTTTGATCAGGTAGATTACAACTATCTAAAAAAAACTTGGCAAAAAACCTTGACCCCCTTTTCACGTGACCCCCTCTGCACGTGACCCCCTCTGCACGTGACCCCCTCTGCACGTGACCCCCTTTGCACGTGACCCCTTTGCACGTGACCCCTTTGCACGTGACCCCTTTGCACGTGACCCCTTTGCACGTGACCCCCTTTGCACGTGACCCCCTTTGCACGTGACCCCCTTTGCTCGTGACCCCCTTTGCACGTGACCCCCTTTGCACGTGACCCCATTTGCACGTGACCCCCTTTGCACGTGACCCTCTTTGCACGTGACTCCCTTTGCACGTGACCCCCTTTGCACGTGACCCCCTTTGCACGTGACCCCCTTTGCACGTGACCCCCTTTGCACGTGACCCCCTTTGCACGTGACCCCCTTTGCACGCGACCTTCTTTGCACGTGACCCCCTTTGCACGTGACCCCCTTTGCACGTGACCCCCTTTGCTCGTGACCCCCTTTGCACGTGACCCCCTTTGCACGTGACCCCCTTTGCACGTGACCCCCTTTGCACGTGACCCCCTTTGCTCGTGACCCCCTTTGCACGTGACCCCCTTTGCACGTGACCCCCTTTGCACGTGACCCCCTTTGCACGTGACCCCCTTTGCTCGTGACCCCCTTTGCACGTGACCCCCTTTGCACGTGACCCCCTTTGCACGTGACCCCCTTTGCACGTGACCCCCTTTGTACGTGACCCCCTTTGCACGTGACCCCCTTTGCACGTGACCCCCTTTGCACGTGACCCCTTTGCACGTGACCCCCTAGTGCTTTGCACGTGACCTCCTAGCGCTTTGCTCGTGACCCCCTTTGCACGTGACCCCATTTGCACGTGAACCCTTTGCACGTGACCCCCTTTGCACGTGACCCCCTTTGCTCGTGACCCCCTTTGCACGTGACCCCCTTTGTACGTGACCCCCTTTGCACGTGACCCCCTTTGCTCGTGACCCCCTTTGCACGTGACCCCCTTTGTACGTGACCCCCTTTGCACGTGACCGCCTTTGCTCGTGACCCCCTTTGCACGTGACCCCCTTTGCACGTGACCCCCTTTGCTCGTGACCCCCTTTGCACGTGACCCCCTTTGCTCGTGACCCCCTTTGCACGTGACCCCCTTTGCACGTGACCCCCTTTGCACGTGACCCCCTTTGCACGTGACCCCCTTTGCACGTGACCCCCTTTGCACGTGACCCCCTTTGCACGTGACCTTATTTGCACGTGACCTCCTTTGCACGTGACTACATGTTATGCCCCTCAGAAGAGTACAGTGCAACTCCTGAGCAGCTGGAAACACTTTGTGCTGATTCCTCCTACTTACTTAAACTACTCACTGAAAGTAAGTACTCGTTCTCCTTTGCTTGTTATTGGTTATTATTTTCATATCTCTTGATAGTTTATTAATCCTTCTGTCAGTGTAAAATGTGTATATAATAATGTTTGCAGGACTAACAACAGTATTAGTGAGCACGCTAACAGTGTTCTGTCTGTTCGGAGTAGCTCTGTACATAGTCCGCAGTAGATCTGATGCTATTAGTCTGGAGTCTGAGAAAACACGGTGGAGTAAGCTGCTACAGGACGATGATGGGTTTTAGAGGAGTAGCTAGCAGCCCTCCCTGGCTACTTGCCTGCTATTAGCTGTTATTATTATGAGAGACATGACACAGTAAAGATTGGTGACACCTTTTTGAGTTACAAGCTTTTGGGAGCGCAAGCTGCTTCAAGATGACACTGCAATTTTGAAATAGTATAATATTCGCCCTCCCACAATAACACTTCTGTTTGTGCAGCTTATCCAATATATATAATATATATCATTTACCCCACACTGAGGTTGTTTTCTTTGTTTCCTCTTCTCCCTGCTCTTCCTCTTTCATTATCTCACTCTTCTTTCTTTGTTTCCTCTTCTCCCTGCTCTTCCTCTTTCATTATCCCACTCTTCTTTCTTTGTTTCCTCTTCTCCCTGCTCTTCCTCTTTCATTATCCCACTCTTCTTTCTTTGTTTCCTCTTCTCCCTGCTCTTCCTCTTTCATTATCCCACTCTTCTTTCTTTGTTTCCTCTTCTCCCTGCTCTTCCTCTTTCATTATCCCACTCTTCTTTCTTTGTTTCCTCTTCTCCCTGCTCTTCCTCTTTCATTATCCCACTCTTCTTTCTTTGTTTCCTCTTCTCCCTGCTCTTCCTCTTTCATTATCCCGCTCTTCTTTCTTTGTTTCCTCTTCTCCCTGCTCTTCCTCTTTCATTATCCCACTCATCTTTCTTTGTTTCCTCTTCTCCCTGCTCTTCCTCTTTCATTATCCCACTCTTCTTTCTTTGTTTCCTCTTCTCCCTGCTCTTCCTCTTTCATTATCCCACTCTTCTTTCTTTGATTCCAGAACTTATTTTACTTATTTAAACTCAAAATAAGGATTTATTTTTTTCTTTGTTGTTGATAATTAGTAAATCAAGTGTTTGTTATTTGTGTTTGTTATTTCAGAATTTTCAACCAAATAATCCCATAATATATTATGTGCATTGTATTGTATATTGTGCATATAACATATGTGCTTACTAATTATTAAAATGTGATATTAATGCTATTGAACATCTCGGAAATTATTTTAAATGTAAAAATAGTTCTGGCATAATATAAGCTGATAACTGGAAAATTCACTAAAATGTTTCAACTAAAAAGACAATTTCACACTTCTTGATAATTATAAAATTGATAAAACTACAAATTAACGTAAATGTCTGTAATGTAACATTATTGTAATGTATTGTTATGAGCAGGACCATGTCACGAGGTGTTTGTACAAGAGCTTCTCAAATACAGTCCCGCAAACTCAGATTCTTACCTGTCAGACCCAAAACAGCTCCAGCTCGCACCAAATACGTGGAACCTAGGTAGGA